ACCCAGGCCCCTGGAGTAACACTGCCCAGTGTTAGTCTTACCCAAGCCCCTGGTGTAACACTGCCCAGTGTTAGTCTTACCCAGGCCTCTGGTGTAATACTGCCCAGTGTTAGTCTTACCCAGGCCTCTGGTGTAATACTGCCCAGTGTTAGTCTTACCCAGGCCCCTGGTGTAACACTGCACGAGTACACACTGGGTTGCTGGGTAGACATCAACATCTCACCAATGGAAAGCCGAAAGACAAAATCTAACTGGCCATCCATGATCATCCCAGTTTAACCTCCACTCTAAGCTCCTTCCCTAGGAAATTTCTCCCTTCTTTGTTTCATTACTAGTGTCAGATATCCAGTCCCTGGGTTATCTGCCCTTTTTTTCCTTGGGAATTACCTCCTTCCTTATCTCATTCCTTGTGTCTTGGATATCTCCTCCCTGGGGGTTTTGAGCCCTTCCCTTGGGAATATTATATTACCCCTATTTCATTATCATATCAAACCTCCTCCACCTTTACATCAGAGAACAGGTACATTAAACCAGAAACACAGTAAACCACATCAAAGTCCTGCAGTATCAGGGTAAGAAAGTTAAATAATTAGGCAGTGCTATATCACACACTGGCGGATTGCCTGGTCATACACCCGATAGCATCAGACACAGCCTCCCTGACAGCTAACAGGGCCTCCTCACTCTGATAGAGAATGCGTATGGTGACACAGACGTCCCTGTAGAGTTGTTCCTGGTCGGTAGGATGGTGTATATCCCTACTATCAGCCTGGTCATCTACAGGTGGCTTAATGAGTGTTTACAGTTATCACCTGAATTTTACGTACAAACCTGTTTATAGCATCTAGACACATAAATCGTGGTTATGACATGATCCAACTGTTTATTTTCCAGTACATTGTTTGTGAAAATTTCTGAACTGGCCTTGTTCGACATCCCCTTCCTCTATTTTGTATCTACACAATACATACAGTCCTTGGCGAACGTTGATAATGTTTGTGAACAGGATACCTTTGTTCCCTTAGGTCAGAATACCTCTATATTAACTAAGTGAACACAAACCCCCCACCACCTCCCCTTTTTATTTTTTCTTCACACTCAACATCCCTATCATTTAACATTTATCGAAATAGAAATACTGCAAAAAGGGGATATTTTTGTGTGTGACAATATTTCCGTGACTCCTTCAACTGTTCGCAGTGATAATGGTTCTGAAATCTTTATATACTATATATTTATAATCTAAATAATGTAGTAATAAATATTCGCTTGTAGACCTTTCCTTGCCAAAATTTGTTCAATGAGAAAAATTTGAATATTTCCACACCCTAAAAATGTCCACTTTTACAGTTTATATCTGTACTGTACTTAACACATATTGAAAATGTTTATTAACATAAAACTGAACGCTACCTCCATCCATTTCTCCACTCTTAACTTCCTGTCTTCAACTTCTATTTTCTCCTTAATTTCTCCACACCGAATGTCTGACATCCTCACTATCAGCACCACCCTCCAGTCAACCAATTCAAACAAACATATGTTAAAAGTCAACAAAGGTGAAAAACTTAATTTAATTTTAACCAACATAGATATCTACCTTCTTTGCTTTTTTTTCTATATTCAGTATATACAGTTTGATCCTACATTAAATTACCTTTTTAAAATAATGATTTCATGGAGAGATTATAATTTTTATATTAATATTAGAACCCTGATTTATCTGAAAAAAAATAGTGAAAATAATATCAAATGGAAAGAAATTAAAATCAACAAGTACACATTTGTTTATCTGCTACCAGTCTACATGTGCGACTGAAGTTAATTCTTTAGTGACTCAGAAGCCAGTTCTCCCTATTTCAAAATCCTTCCTAGTCTAAATTTTCATAATTGAAATAGATAAAATTTGAATTCAGTGATAATGGGGATCTGGTGTCATTATTACAAAACATGACTATCTTCTGTGATAAATCTCCATGTTTTTCATCAATGTACTATACCTGGTAGCTGTACTTTATAACAAGGAGCTTGATCGACTCGTCAATTTCAAAACCTCTGTTCAGTTGCCAAGTGTTATTGTTTGGTAATATACACTATAATTGTTCTAGCACTCGATACTGTGAAAGATAAGAAGATTGTGGCCGCTATTGATGTCATGGAGGTTATTTTTAGAAATCAGAAACTTTGGAATTTGGCATTTATTTTTGGCCCCTTACATACTTGTTAGTTGTGATTATATGCTTGCCGTTCTGTCTGTCCTAGTTTCCCACCTCTATGTCTGGAGAGGAGCTATATAATTGTTTCTAATTGTACTATTGACTTTGAGATAATTCTCAAGGTGAAGATTACAGAGGGTTTGTTCTGACTATACTTGCTTCTAATTCAACGTTATGTGATGCAGTAATTTACTGAGAAATACTCCTTCTTCTCTGCCAAATTATTGGTCTTCCTCCCCATCCTCCTTCCCACCCCTCCTTCTCATCCTCCTTCCCACCCCTCCTTCCTATTTTCCTTCCTATCCCTCCATAAGTTCCTATCCTCCACCCCTCCTTCTTAACCTCCTTCTCATCCCTTCCTATCCTCCTTCCAATCTCTGCTTTTAGGTCACCTGAGCTTTAGCTCAAGTGACCTATTGCTATCCGTCTTTGTCCGTCGTGCGTCGTCCGTTAACATTTTACATTTTCAACTTAAACTGAAATACTGGCAAAGGGTTTTCATTAATATTTCATGGGAAGGTTACTGACATTTCCCTGACAAAGTGTTGTTATTTTTCAGGTCGATCAGAAATCCTATATGGCCGCCACGGCCGCCATTTTGAAAAAAAACATTTCAAACTTAAAGTCAAGTTCTGCTAGGCCGATTGAACTGAAACTTGGTAGGAATAATCGACTCATAGTCCAGACAAAGTGTTGTTATTTTTCGGGTCGATCAGAAATCCAATATGGCCGCCACGGCTGCCATTTTGAAAAACTATTTCAAACTTAAAGTCAAGTTCTGCTGGGCCGATTGAACTGAAACTTGGTAGGAATGATCGACTCATGGTCCTGACAAAGATTTGTTATTTCTCGGGTCAATCAGAAATATAATTTGGCTGCCATGGCCGCTATTTTGAAAACACCCATTTCAAACTTAAAAACAAGTTCTAATATGCCGATCTAACTGAAAATCGGTCTAGGAATGATCAGCTCATGGTCCTGACAAACTTAAGTTAACGTTATACTTAACAATATTTCAGTACTACCTCCTTCCCACCCCTTCGCATCCGTTCCTATCTTCTATCCCATTTCTGCTTCCTATTTTTATTTCCTATCCCTCCTTCTTAACCTCCTTCTCATCCGTTTCTATCCTCCTTCCCATCTCTGTTTTCTATTCCTCTTTCCTATCCCTCCCTCTTAACCTCCTTTCCACCCCTCCTTCTCATTCGTTTCTATCCTCCTTCCCACCTCTGTTTTCTATTCCTCTTTCCTATTCCTCCTTCCTTACCTCCTTTACGACCCTCCTTCTCATCTGTTCCTATCCTCCTCCCCATCTCTGCTTCCTATTCCTCTTTCCTATCCCTCCTTCCTAACCTCCTTCCCGACCCTCATTCTCATCTGTTCCAACCCCTCCTTCCCACCCTCGTTCTCATCTGTTCCTATCCTCCTTCCCATCTCTGCTTCCTATTCCCCTTTCCTATCCCTCCTTCCCCAACCTCCTTCTCAACCCTTCCCATCCTCGTTCTCATCCGTTCCTATCCTCCTTCCCATCTCGGCTTCTTATTCCTCTTTCCTATCCCTCCTTTCCACCCTCCTTCTCATCTGTTCCTGTCCTCCTTTCCATCGCTTCTTCCTATTCCCCTTTTCTATCCCTCCTTTTTAACCTCCTTCTCATCTCTGCTTCCTATTCCCCTTTCCTATCCCTCCTTTTTAACCTCTTTCCCATCTCTGCTTCCTATTCCTCTTTCCTATCTCTCCTTTTTAACCTCCCTCCCATCTCTGCTTCCTATTTCCCTTTCCTATCTCTCCTTCCTAACCTCCTTCCCGACCCTCTGTCTCATCAGTTCCTATTCTCCTTCCCATCTCTACTTCCTATCCCTCCTTCCCACCCTCCTTCTCATCTGTTCTTATCCTCCTTCCCATCTCTTTTTCTATTCCTCTTTCCTATTCCTCCTTCCTTACCTCCTTCCCGACCCTCCTTCTCATTCCCGTATATAAGTTTCTGTGCTGTAGTAGTCAAGTGATGTGGCTCAGTAAAAGACAGATAGAAATACAAACCCATAACAATTTGAACACGTATACAATATCAGACACACACGTTCTCTTTCCAAAATATGGAGATACAAATACAATCATGAAGAAGTGCAGAGTAAGGCTACTTGCTCCTATTCAGGTTGGAGTGAAATAAGGGCATATCACTATATAAATAAAGAGGAGATGCGACACCCTCACTCCACACTAACCACAATACAGAGCTCTCGATCATCCTTTGAATTTTGAATGCAGTGGAGTATGTTTTAAATGTAGATAGGATTGCATTACCATAAAAATTATTAATTCATAAATTCATGTTGAAGTTCATGAGAAGCCCAACTGATCAAACCCAGGTATATAGTATTACATAACCAAAATGACAATTTTATTACATAACCAAAATGACAATAAACATTTATGATTGATGATGATTAATTTATAGGATGTGGAAGTCACCAGGAATAGTTGTAACACTATACAATTTAATGGATGTATCTACGAGAATGATAATGTACGTGTACTCTCTAGTTTAAGATAAAGCCAGCAACTAGTCATGTTTTATGACACGATCTAATGCAATTATCAAACGTGATTTATGATTTAGATTTGCGGAAGATTCAGTGCCTGCATCCATTCTTGATTTTCACATTGCTCTACATCATTACCATAACTGTAGTTGTTTATGAGAGAATTTGAGTTATAGAAGAAGATTAATACTTGATATACATTAATACAATACTGTGAGTGTCAATGTTTCTATTTTCAGCTTGCTCATCATCCTTGGCGTGGTTGTTGGAGCCATCATGAAGTGAGTTGGTAATTTTAATGCACAGTATTAGGATTAATGTTGTCTGTATTCACGAAGGCAGATGGATATTTTACACTTTTGGAAGTAAAGTCAATTATTGTTAAATTATAAACACCATCTCCCATCTATCTTTGACAAGAATTTGAATCTTTTCTCATTTGACGCAACAAGATACATCCATTTTGAATATTGATGTAATACCGTATGTCATTTAGGCTTGAAATCTTAGAACTTACGGTAGCCTGTGGGACATAAACTGTTTATTTACCAAATAAATATCAATTCATTATCCTCTGCTTAGAAATGCCAAGAACATGTTGTTTTACTCATATCTGTAGGAACAATTACGATTTCTTAGCTTAAATTCCTTATTACTTCAGAGATACTTTGATGAAATATTGCAACACTTCTACCTAACTATTGTCTGGTATACGATGTGTACGCTAGCAATAAAGATGCTCATATTTCTGTAAACTCAATTAAATTGATAATTTAAGCGATATTTCCCATACGTCTATGTATACATCAACTGTTGCATGATTGACAACAATGTTGCTTCCTCCGCGATTTGTAGATTTATGCCCCTTGAACTACTTATAGCTAGTTAAAGTCTTGTCAAGTCTACTACACCAACACTATATGATGTATTTCTAATTAACTTTGAGAACATCTTGTCTATCATATGACCCTGTAGATATGTAACTGCTATTTCTAATCCTGTTTAGCTCATCTAGGATGAAGGGCTATCAAGTTAGTTCAAATGAATGACCTTCAGCCATATTCAAGGTCACAGGAAACGTGTTGTAAAAACTTTTAACAAAAGACTTCTTCTAAATAATCAAAAGTTCTTGGGTAATCATATTTGGCCAGTAGTATGCAGGGATGAAGGGCTTGTGGGCAAATGGGTTGAACACATTTTAAACTATTTCTTCTTACTAACCAAAATGTGAAGGATGGTGATATTTGGCAAGTAGCATACTCATATTTGTATAAAGAGGTATTATTTTTGTTCAAATGAATGACCATCACCCATATTCAAGGTCACAGGTGTTGGATACGTTTAAATGACATCGATCAGAATAGCAAAACGGCTAAGGGTGATGATATTTGACCAGTAGTATGCTGGGAGGAAGAGCTACCAATGTTTTTAAGGTGAATGACCTTGACCCACTTTCAAGGTCACAGAGTAAAATGTGTATAAACCTTTAAATGACCTCTTATCAATATTGAAAAAAATCCCAGGGTGGTTGTATTTGGCAAGTATTATGCTGGAATAAAATAGTATCAATATGTACAACTGATTTACCTTGTTACATATTCAAGGAGTCATAAGTAATGATATTTAGCCTGAAGATTTATTTCAGTCTACTTTTAAGGTTACAGGTGTATGGGAGTCATGCTAGGCAATAAGTAGTATAAGTTGATGGATAACTAATCCTTAAGTTTCAAGTAAGTGCCATCTCAAGGGTAAAGGTATGATTTAAAATGTATACGGTAAACCTCCAGTCAGTTCGAATCGGCTGATAGTTTTCAATAAAAACAATAATTTTCTAGCTAGTGATAGTTCAAACTCTGATTGTCTATAATTGACCCTATTTCGGATAGTCCGAACTTGTCAAATGAAAAACGTAAAATAAGATTTGTTTTGGCCAACTCCATTGAAAGCTTGCGGCGTTTGGCCCCGGAAAAAATGCCAATACTTTGATCAACAGACATGCTGATGGTAATGGGTTGTATGTGTGATCATTGCAGTACAGCTGTGACAGACAAACCATAAATATATGTCACAGATTTTAGCGTTGATTCATTTTTTTACATTGTTTGAAAAATACATTGTGCACGAGACAGCTAATTGCAACTTAAGACCTGACAATGTATAAATAACATGCGATCAGTACGAACTGACGTCATGCTGTATGGCAAACTAAGAAATCGCCTGTGTATTGTCAAATACGGTGTTAACTAAGCATTTTGATTATTTATTGCCAATCAAGGTATTACCTGTAAATGTGTGCCCTCACACCAGGTAGGGAAGGCCACGCGGGATGTCGCAGTAGGGATCGGCCGCCCGGTTATTGTGAGTGACGTGATTAGCATTCATGTCCAGTCCAAACAATCCACAGGTGTCCCAATTATTAGCATATACCTATATTTACAGTAGTGCTTTCGTAAACGCAACAGATTATGTAGACTATGTTTTCAAATTATTAAACGGACCATTCATTACGAAATAATATATACAATAAATAGTTTCTGATTCAAATCAAACATATGACCATGCAGAGACTCAATATTTAGGTATCTGATACAAGGTAGTCATTTTTGCCGATAGTTCGAACTCACGCTTATTTTCTGAAGCATAATTTCGTATAATTCGAACAGGTTCCTCGATATTTATTAAATTTTCTTCCAATTAACTGACTGAAGGTTTACTGTATATCAACTTTATGTTGAGGCAATAAACCCTGGTAATCTTTGACTTAAAAGTAGACCCATCCTAGAGAGCTATTTGTTGGCTCACAATCAATTGGGATGGGATTTTGATGCCTATGGAAATGTAGTAAGGTTGTTTGATAACATTGCACTGTTTATGTGCATTACAGCAGGAAGTACAAGTCAGTAACTCTTAAAAATACTGAAATACAGCCAGAATCAATCTTAAATTGTTATACTAGAAATATTTTTCTTTCAAATTGTTAATATTTCACCTAGCATTACTTCTGTACTATACCTACTTTCCCAAGTCATCATTCTAAAATCCATATAAAAACTCAGGAAGAAAGGATTAAGAATGCTGTGGCCTTGCTATGCTGATGATGGATAATAAATGTGTTATGAACTTTTACATATATTTTAGTGCCATATACAATGATGGTGATTTTGTTTTTTGCTGCTTTGTCTTAATAAAATGAACGAATAATTTGTTTTGTCGAATTGGAAAGTAAGCTGTTTTGATCACTTTTGTTCAAAATTTTCAGAAGAAAGTTTTAATGGTTTTACGCCACGTACAGAACCAATATATTATATAGCCCTGCCATTTTATTGCATACCTGCTAAATGACCCGCATTCTGCGGGTCACACCCGCAAAATGAACCTATCACCCGCGACGATCTTATGACCCGCGCGGGTCATACGTATCTTCCGCATTCCGTAAATATGACCCGCAATCACCCACATCCGCGTCTTTTATTAGGATCTCCGTACTTCTGGAAATGTTCCGTTCGTGTCTCTCGGAAGTTTAGCTTTCAGTTATAGGTAAAGTCTGTATACTAAGTGATTTGTTTTCATAATGGTGTCCCTGTTTCGGAACCAGCCTGGCAAATTCAAAAGGTGAGTACTGTTCACTGCTACTACAATGCATATAATCCCGATCGTAGCGCTTGTCATTTCACTTTCACAAATGGCTTCTAACCCGAGAAAACGTTTGTTATTTTAGTGTTCATAGGCAAAAAAGAAAAAGTATGCCTGTAATTACAATGCTTCGTGGGAATAAGATTATGATTCTCTTCAGAAGAGTAATATTGGACCCGATCATGCCTATTGTAAACTGTGTACCAATCATTTTTCGGTAGCTTCGGGTGCTACGTACGATATCAAAAGGCATGCAGTTAAAGAACACTTTGGGAATAATCTTAGGTTTGATGTGTTGTGTAGGCTAATGAAGGCATGTTTGGTACTTTCAGTGAGTAATGCTGACTCTGAGAGAACATTTTCCATGTTGAAGAAGATCCAGACGGAAGGGAGATCTGAATTAGGAAATGATACAATATGTGCTTTGTTATGTGCAAAACTAAATCAACATGGTTCATGCTTTCAGTATGCACCTAGGAAAAGAAAAACATGTATATTGATTAAGAATATGTAATAAAACAATGAAGGTGTGATAAAATGTTTTGTTTATTTCAAATAAGTCATTGATCTTGCCAGAAGACAAATCATAATACACCGTAAAGCCGAGACCCCGCGAAATTATTAAATTTCCACACAAAGTTTCGTTCGCGCGTTATCACCCCCCACAGAATTTCCCAATGGGGACCCCCATTGGGAGATTCAAAGGTTAGCAGGTCTGTTATTGGGGTGGAGTGATTATAATGTTACCCACGCTAGTGTCACATTGCATCCAGTTACGTTATGATACTTCTGAACCGATTTCTTAAACTTAAAAAGGTCAAGTATCAGAATATATGAATGAATTTGTGTTTCAGAGCTCTTTAGGAGGCATTCATGTCTTAAGGACAGATTTCTAGTTTTGTCTCAGGGGAGTGCATGATTTTGAATAAAGTGTGGTACAGAATTTCTCTAAGGCGTTGAAGAAAATGGCTCATTATCATCATCAGCCATTGGCCCTCTTGTTATTACTGTCTTGTAAGAAACACTCCAAATGTAAATAAAATGTCTTGTTATCTGTTAATTAGCCTTTTGATGGTTGTTAACTTCCCGAGTCACATCTCTGTTGCAGCTTCGATTGATCAATGACCTGTTGTATTGCTTGTAAGTCTTGATAGTTATAACAGCCACAAGAGTTTCTGACACACAAGTGTCGCAGCTCAATTGTAATCGACTATTCAAACCTAACAGGTATGTCAACTCTCATGGCGGTAGGACGTGACTGACATGTAGAAAATTCTTTCGTGACCGAGTCAATGTCTGTATAACGAGACAATCTAGCCGCTCTAGAAATCATTGGCCAATTTTCCCAGTCATAATTGTTGGCAGTCACGAACAGGGGGAGAGAAAAAAAATTAGCGCCAGGATCCAGTGTATGAGTTATCTTCCCTTCCCAAGGGAGCAGATGTGCTGACAATCGTAAAAACACCACCATTTACAAACACGGAGACTTTCCATTGGGAGTAAGAGTTAGTCTTAATGTGTTTGTGGTGACTGATAGAAAATGTCGCACATAGTTTACTCAAGGCATCGGGGCAATTCTGTTGGAAATTTTATTTATTGACCATTAGGGAAACAAATAAATTGTTTTGGCAGTTAAACTATATTTCCGAAGGTTATGTCTGATTCAACAGTATAGAGATTAAACTTTGGGCATTCAAATACATCTAAATTTTTCAAAATTGATCTTTATAACTTTACAAAACTATGTCGTGACAAATCTGTGGGCTTAGATTGAAACAAGAATATTTTCGTCAGTTTTTCCACCCATTAATTGTGTATAGCCTGCAATGAAATAAAATGTCCATGCCTCAGAATGTTAGTAATGTTTATTTTTTCATCTGGATTAGAAATTGAAATCCCCATACTACTGTCAAACGCTGAAACTATGAACAAGATACTTTTCACCAGAATGACAATAGTGGTGATAAATTATTTCTGAAATGAAACCTGAATACCAGAACTTAATCAAATAGAAGACAAATACGAGACACTCGAGTAAAATGTTGATTTTTTTACTTGATGTTAATATTTGTTACATTTGCATGTTATGGCCATGTCGTCGCCCACATAACAGCTGGAATTGAATAGAAACTGGAAATAGAAAATTCCTCTCCCAAAAGCTATTATGATATTAATAATAATAATTTGAGGTTCTTATATAACACTTTTTCACAACTGAACTCGTAGGTCATCTCAAAGCGGTTTACAAATTATTATCTGTGGTTATAGGGCCTTTGCAACCAGCCAATATCTTTCTCAACTCCCTAGGGAGCATAGAGTCGGAGATGCCATTTCGGCGCTTACAGCTAGCATTCAACAATTCCAGCACTGCCCAACCACATACTCATTTACAGCTGAGTAGACTGGAACAGTTGGAGTAAAGAATCTTGCTCAAAGATACAACACAGTGCCGTGTCGTGACTTAAGATAATGTGAAAATGTCATTTTAGATTCCAAAAGTTAGCGTCCAATTCTGTTGTCCAAAGTAAAACTCTGCCTGCCTTTTGGACTGTGTAAGGTATGACAAAGTGAGATCTCGTAATGGTATGGTTCCCTGTACCGAGCATATTCAATTTAAAAAAACCTGAAGAACTGGAAGCAACATCGAAATATGTTGGTTTGGTTTGTTTAACGTCCTATCAACAGCTTTGGTCATTTAAGGATAGCCTCCCCTGTGTGCAAGATGTAAGCATGTAGTGTATGCGCGTGTGTTTTGGGAGGCTGCGATATGTTCGTGTTTGTCTCCTTATGATAGACCGGAACTAATGCCGACTTTATAGTGCTACCTCACTGAAACATTCTGTTGAAGACACCCAGCAAGACCACATTATACTGACTACAGGCGAACCAGTCGTTGTTGTGGCTAGGTTTGAACCCTGTTGTGTTTGGGTTTGAACCCTATTGTGTCTAGTTTTGAATCCTGTTGTGTCTAGGTTTGAACCCTGTTGTGTCTAGATTTGAAACCTGTTGTGTTTAGGTTTGAACCCTGTTGTGTCTAGGTTTGAACCCTGTGGTATCTAGGTTTGAACCCTGTTGTGTCTAGGTTTGAACCCTGTTGTGTCTAGGTTTGAATCCATTGTGGCATTCAAGATCACCTACAAAAGATGATTGTAGACATGATTGTCATTTGAATATATTCTTCTGTTTTTAGGGTCCTGAAGAAGCCCACTATATATAGGGGCAAAACCGTTCTACACTTCTAATAGACCTCAAATTAACTACTTGCTCCTTTGCCTGTTGTGATTAAATCTATGACTGTTCTTTTTTCAGTGCCACTATGGCATTTGAGCACATGCCAAGAATGGGAGCCACACTCTTCTTCCTGTACCTACTCCCACCGTAAGTAAAAATGTATTTTGTTTAAACCAAAACTTGCTTTGAAATTCATACTGTTTTATATGCCAATTTTATGGGGAAGGGGATTTCGTGTTACCCATGTCCATCCTGTCTCGATGCAGGCTCATTACTCTAAGCTTCATTTCTGATTACATTTTAATCAAACTTTATTCAAAGGTCAGTTATAAAAAATACCTTGAACGATTTTTATCTCCGGGTTTCAAGGTGAAGTCCAAGGTCAACCTTACTACATTTGCATTTATAGATCCTTTGTCAACTAAATGAAAATCATCACCCAAGCAACTTAATTTTACATAACAGAACTTGATAAAACTTTATACAAACGTCAAGTTCAAAAATACTGTGAATGGGTTCATATTTTAGGTTTCCAAGGTCAAAGCAAAGGTCACCATTACTATTTATAGAAACTTTATGAAACAATGACACTAAATTTTTCAGTTAGGGTCATGTCTGTCTGTCTGTCACTTTACTACTACTATTTCAAAATGTGAAAAAATTACTATGACTTCTGTCCAGTGATTATGGAGGATATATTACTGTGAGGCACATAACAGGACCCTTGCTAATCTGTAAGCGTTCTAATTTATCTTTCAACTCTCATATATCATAATGATAATATCAATATGCAATTAACAAGGTTCAGGTTCAAGTAAAAGTCCATCTATCAACTCATCTCCTTTATTGAGTAAAAAATTAGGAACAGATAGAAAATAACGGATTCAGGATTAAAACTTGTTGTTTAATTGGTTAAGTGGCAGATTCTGGGACTGGGGAAAGTTTCCGAATGACTGCCTGGAGAGTTTCAAAACAGGAAAATGGAAAAACATTTTTTCATAAATAAAATTGTCAGACTGAATTTCCTTAAGCCTGTGAACCCTATGCATCCAACACCGTTCCAGGTTTTTTTTGCGAACCATCCATAATGAAAAGGAAGTTGATCATATTGTAGGGAATTAACTTTATTCTAATTGGATTCAAAGAGCCAATTAGGAAGATCCTAGTTTGTCAACCATTAGCATGGATGCAATTTTTTGTGTTTTCTAGTCATCAAACAAGATGTATTTGAGAAAAATAAAGCATTAATTTGAACCTCATTTGAATTTGAATTACAAAATTTAACATGGATATTTTCCTTCCATATCAGAATATTTCTGATTTTATAACAGTTCTGAATTAAAAGGAAATAAGGCAAGTTCACTTCCTGAATCCAGGTAACTTGCAAATTCTAGAAGTCCATGCAGTACTGCAGTCTACCAAGTGTTTCCTTGTTCATTGGTGTTTTGATGTCAATTATAAAATTAATCAAAATGCATTGTCTTGTGGATTTTAGCTTACCTTGCCCGACGGGCACAGTGAACTTAGCCTGCTGCAGGTCATCTGGCATCTGTATATAGACTATAAGATTCTTTTATGCCCATGGATGTAGGATAGGGAAATTCCACCCTCTGGATTTCCAATTTTTTGAGGCTGTGCCCAATTTGAAAATCTTGAGGGTGGAATTTCCCGATCCTACACCCTTGGACATGAAAGAGTATTTTCTCATTTCAACAACCAGAATAAGGTCAGAAACCATGAAATAAATGCATTTGAACTGGCTACCATTTTGAAAATATCAATCCCCCCACCCACCCCTGAGCTTTTTAGACGAAAGATTATCTGTAGGCCAGATTTAGCATACCCCATATTTGCAAACAGTTTGCTCAGAGAAATGAATCTCATCTCTTTAACCTTTACAGTAAATATATCGTAATAGGATTTAATCTCGTCTCTTTAACTTATACAGTAAATATATCGTAATAGGATTTAATTTCATCACGACGCCTTTGGTGCATTGCAGCATCAGAGTTTCCCAAATTCATGATATCATGTAATTGTTGAGCTATTGTGAAGTCACATCACGTGAAATATGAGTAAGATAGAAATTACCTACACCCCTTTCTTACCTTGGACAGCTCTATCTTACACACATAGAAATGAAAGAAAACATTTTCTTCACAGCAATTTATTAACTAATAGACTGAATTTAGTTGAACTTTGTACAATTTTTGTTTTGTGTTCCAACCATTTTGGGTAAAATCATGTTGGAATAAAGGCTTACCAAGTTGGTTCAAATGAATGACCTTGACCCATATTTATTGTCACAGACCAATGTTCTTGATAACGTAAAGGCCCAATATGATGTCATTGGCTTATAGCTTAATGTAGCCCATTCTGATATATTCATGAACCTTGGTCCACTTCTAAGATTACTTGTGGGAGATTAATAATACCAGGTTAGGATACGGGCCAATTGGGCCTCTTGTTTGTAGTTACTGTTTTGACTATTTCTCCGTAATTTGGTTTCTTGTCCATATGTCCATCCTTTCAGCTGTCTGTTGACAAATTTGTCCAAAGTACTGCTTTACCCGTATTTATCTGAAACTTAATACAATCATCACTTTACGGGAAATGTACCAATTTTTGTGTCCCCTGTGTTTGGCTCATTTAAACAAGTAATATAAATAACACTGTGTTTGTAACAAAATATTAGTAAGAAAATATGTATGGATGCAGTGCACAACCAATACATGAAGTGAGTTTTTACCTTGGGTACCTTTGGGAAATCAATGTGAATGGTCCCTGTCTGATCTACCCGCGGGTCTACTAGAGGATGGTAACATAAGCTAACATAATTACATGTCAATTGTGTAACTCGTTTACATTAACTTCATTAGCATTATCTAGTATATTGGAATGATGACCAATGCAGTCACATTCTTGTATGCCCTTTAACAAATTCACCCCTGAATTTTCATAATGAACTAATCCAACCATAGAATTGGAAGAGTTCAAATGTGTCTTCAGGGGTGAATGAGTTATATACATCATCAACTAATGAATGACAGTGAACACCTGTAACCCAGACCTATATGTTACCATTAATGATTTATATAGTCTACCTTAATCTGAGAGAGGAGCTATGTTGGAATGGAAATGATTGTCGCATAGACACATTTCAAGTCTCTAAGGGTAGCCATCGGAGATACAGGTGCCCTAATTAGTAATCACAATGTCTGTCTGTCCGTCTGTTTCCAGAGATTATCCAGAATCCAAAATACAGTTTTTTGAATTTGACATGGTCATACACTATAATAATAACAATAATTTGGCAGCCTTAGCCTAAAAGAATTCATAAGAGAAAATATAGTACTATACTTCTGTAGACTGTGGGAACATATTCATTTTTCTTCATTGTGGGATAAGTTATGGCACCTTTTGGCTGGGGAAATTTGAAGCAATCTGTTTTTGGTTGTAAAAAGAAACAATGACACCTGTAGTATTTACATCCTTAGTATAATATAATACTGCTATATTTCATTTATATACCTGGTGAATCATACTATATATGTATATATTTCAGCCAGTTTTCAGACCCTACAATAAAATAAGGTTCCATATTTTATACTGACAATAGAAAGGTATTGTTGATGTAGCCAGACAAGTGTTTTCTAACTTCAGTACATGTCTATTTACATTCCTTAGTTACTAAAATAGTTACGTTTTCCCATTACTGCTGTGGGACAGAGTATCTGTACAATCTATACACGACCAAGCATTAGACGGTCCCCATCAACTCATCTAAAAAATATTCTTAATATTTTTGTTTTAATGTCAGACTCACTATAGTTTAAAAATCAGATTTCTCTAAATATTTTTGAATTCTACTTTTTGATGTTTAATAAACACCAGTGATAATTGAATAACATTGTTTTATATACATGTAAGGCATTCTGATGTCAATATACAGCTGAAATGTTTACATATCAGGAATTATTCACAGTCATAGAGTTATTCTGTAACATTTTTTTTTAAGGGAAATTGTCATCCATCATCCAACATTTGATATTTGTCCACGCCTTCTCAGTTCCAGAATATAAAGCATTATAAAATAAATGAAAAGTAGGCAGCTGGATTATCAGCTGGATTATCCAATTCATTTAAATAAATGACCTTGACCTTCAATCAAAGACCACAGGGGTCAAATGTGCTGAAAGTTAGTACAATGTGTTAGGTTGATTTGAAAAACGTATTACTGAAATACAAATTAGGAAGGAAGACAATTTAAAAATAGTGCCACACAGAGCATCAGTTCTGCATGCTAGTGTATGATGAGGTTGATGCAAAGGTTTAGGATATGAACAATATGTTGTTATTGCACTCTCAAAAATGCAATTTGTTTCCATCTATATCTATACATTGAAATGCAATAGATGATTTGTTTATGATCCTGTTGAGGATACAGGGTACATTAAAACCTCGTTTAAAGGAGGAGGAGGAGGAGGAGGAGGAGGAGGTGGTGTAATGGTCAGTCACTGGTTTATCTTGGCTAGACAATCTGGTATTGGAGATTGTTTTTCAAGGCCCAGACTGGGCATAGCTAGTAAATGTGTCATCAATTTATTTGTCTCCCTTCTTAATTTGTATTGTAATGTGATGTATTGCCTAGTCAGCAGATTGTATCCTGTAGAATAAGGTATGTTCATCTGAATGTCTAGCTGTCACCCAGAATGTTCGTACCAGAATTGTTTAGAATATCACAATATGTATTTGTATCTTTGACAGGATCATCCTCGAGTCGGCTTACAGTCTCCATGACAGAACCTTCTTTGAAAATGTCGGTACCATTATAATATATGCAGTTATTGTAAGTATCTATTATATAGTTACCTTTCTGCTCCGTGACAATAGAAAGTTATATGATAGATACAGGTTGTTAAACCTGTGACTTTGAAATCATCTCTCTGTCTGGCAAAGGAGATCATATTCAGGATCAATTACTGGGAAAAGTCTTCTTTTTTTTTTTATGGTCCCTAACTTTTATAGATTTACTGAAATGGTAATTTTTGCAGAATCTATTTTTCATGAAGCTGAAGGTAAAAATGGATTAAAATGCTATTAATTTCTCAGGTTGCTTGTGTGAAGATACAATTTACTGAAATAATTTTGAAAATCTGCAATTTGAGAGACTTGATTTTGAGGCTTGATTTAGACAGAGTTCACTGTATATGAAGGTCAATAAATATGCAAGACCACACACTTGTGTTTTTCTAACGAATCAGAAAGCACTCATTTATTGCGCGGACGAATATATAAGTCAGCACAATAAATGAGTGCTTTCTGATTCGTTAGAAAAACACAAGTGTGTGGTCTTGCTTTTGTCTATTACCTTCCTTATTTGGTAGAGATCGATACAAAGATTTTATAAACTTTGATATTTTTTGCAAATACCAGGAACTTTTCAGTTCGCCATGACAAGGGATTCCCATAAAAAAGTACTTCTGGTTAGTAGGTAAATACAACATTCCATATTGCACATGTGCAATACAGAATGTTGTATTTCAAGGTCTGAAAATTGCTTGTATTACTATAACAAGATTCAACAGGTATGTGATAAATGGACTTATTATGGAGTGTGTGAAGATCATAAATGTATTTTCAAAACAGTGTGACCGTATAGAAGTCATCTTAAGGGTGGTTGGGTGGTGCAGTGGATAACCAACTCGCCTTTCACCAAGGAGCTCGAGGCTGGGGTTTGATTCCCTCATCGGACATGAAAAGGTATGGGGTCACCTGCCCGACCATTTTCTCTGGGCACTCCGGTTTCCTCCCACATTAAGACCCCCTCGCGCTAACATCCAGGCCAACAACAGTGATTGATATCTTTTCCAATACAAACATTTAAGTGTACAATGTCATAGATACATTTCCAGCAAAATGTATGATGAAGATAATTACCTGTATACAAAGCATGTTCAGTAGTGTTTGAAGGTCATTAAATGTTACTTTGAACAAGGTATGAAGGTCATCAAATCCTTAACCATTACAAGGTATGAAGGTCATCAAATCCTTTACCATTACAAAGTATGAAGGTCATCAAATCTTTTACCATTACAAGATATGAAGGTCATCAAATCCTTTACCATTACAAGGTATGAAGGTCATCAAATCCTTTACCATTACAAGGTGTGAAAGTCATCAAATCCTTTACCATTACAAGGTGTGAAAGTCATCAAATCCTTTACCATTACAAGGTGTGAAGGTCATCAAATCCTTTACCATTACAAGGTGTTAAGGTCATCAAATCCTTTACCATTACAAGGTATGGAGGTCATCAAATCCTTTACCATTACAAGGTGTGAAGGTCATCAAATCCATAACCATTACGAGGTGTGAAGGTCATCAAATCCTTTACCATTACAAGGTGTTAAGGTCATCAAATCCTTTACCATTACAAGGTATGGAGGTCATCAAATCCTTTACCATTACAAGGTGTGAAGGTCATCAAATCCTTAACCATTACGAGGTGTGAAGGTCATCAAATCCTTTACCATTACGAGGTATGAAGGTCATCAAATCCTTTACCATTACAAGGTATGAAGGTCATTAATGCTTCTCTAATGCAAAATCATAAACATCTACTCAAGTGTTTCCGAGATACCTAAGAGCTGAGAAAGTAATTGGGTTCTTCACCTACATAGAGGAGATGAAAGGGTTTGATTAATTATCGGTGCATGTTTGTATTTCTGTGTAGGGTATTCTCTGTACAATGTGCTGTGGTATTGGTGTTTGTATTTCTGTGTAGTATTCTCTGTACAATGTGCTGTGGTATTGACTTGTAAAACTCTTCTTTATCATCATTCTACTATCTTGTAACCTCTTATAAAGTTTTCTGATCTGCATGAGAAACAAAATCGTGACTTGCCAACTTGTAAAAGTGAATTTGGATGGAATTGTGTTTAAGCTTAGAACTGATAACAATAGAATATAACAAAGGGATATGTAAAACAGTATTGTTTCAGTAATTTGGTTAGAGCTATTATTTAGTGTTCAAGGTACTGGAGTATATATATAGACTTGTAATTGTAGTGTAGGCCTTCAGACACATAGCTGTCTATATGCTGGTGTGCAGGTGAATACACCAAATTTTCTTACGGAAGCAAAAACTGCTTGCTGTACCCCTTGTCCCCCTGACAAGTCTCCGTTCCTAAATGAACCACTCAGAACAAGGGCCAACTACGCTGCTGGCCTTCTGAGTGTCTTCACAAAGATCTGGGAAAAAAATCTACTGGATATGTGGCCTAGTTCATAAAACAGCTGAGAGATAGGGTTAAAAAGGGTTTGATCGGGTTAAGCAACTTTTCTGAAACTATGAGACGGATATCAACATTATTTGACTGGAACTATTCTCTAGTGAAATAGTATTGAAAACCGCAACCGGGGGGG